CACCTGTGAGGCCAGGCAATGTGCAGGGGTCTTTGCTGATAGTCCTGTCCACTCAAGATATTAGAGAGGTTAAAAGTCAGACACTGCTTATCTTCCTCTTGACAGGGATTTGTGCCTTCTGATGCCTCGGCCTGGATGGGTCTCGCCAGGGCTGTGAGTGGGGAAGGCAGCCCCTCGTGCTGTGTGGTGCCGAGTCCAGCCTGGGACTCACAAAGTCCAGACCCACAGTGCACGTCGCTGGTTTTCATTACAGCTCTGCTCTTCTGCTGGCCAGGCAGAGCCCCCGACTGACAACCAGCTCCATCTCCTTCAACACCAACTACCTTTTCCAAACAGGCGAGCTTATGCTCTGGCATGAACCTACCAGGAAAAAGAACAAAAAAAAACGTGGAGTGTGTTCATGCTGGATTTCAGTTTCACCTGGCAATTAATTAAATAGCAAATGAGAAGGTGAAAACACGGTTGGTATTTTGCAGCCATCCAAACAACTACTCTACTAGCATTCAGTAATTGATATACACATTTTAGTGAATATGGTACCTGTGAAATAACATAACAGGTTCCCTGACTGAGGAGACAAAGGTTTCCACTGAACCACATTGCCACTAAGTCACATGCATCAACAGGGAGAGCAAAACTATACACCTGCTAAAATGAAATAAAGCAAACACCTATCAGATGTAAAAAGGCAATTCTGCCAACAAAGTCTTGGTACTTTTGACAGGACTACAGCCAAGATTGGCAGCAAATACCAAACACAGCAGTGCCTGACCTAAGGTGAGTCTATTCTATGTCTAGACTTTAGTCCAGTAAGTTGCTTCCTCACATGTCAATGAAGCTGACACAGAAAAACTGTTTGTTGTCTAGTGACATGGATCAAACAGGTACCATGACATGGAAGTGGGTCTTCTTAGCCAACTATCCTCACCTGATTTCTGTAATGACCAACTGAAAACAATTAATCACAAATTAGAAAGAAAATCCCACCTCGAGGAGAGGACTGAGTTCTACATCCACTGGTAGGATAGAAACAACCATTGTTTTTTTACAGGTGCGAGTAATGGACACCAAGATGAGGAAACTGAGGCAGAGCTACTCGTGCCCTTCCTGAGGGGCCACAGGCAGGATTAGACACCACTGGCTCTTCCATCTGATGACCATGCTGCAGAAAACCCTTCCCAACAGCAGGATGCATTTGCACAGTTATATGGAGGCCACTGAAGTAATTTTTTGTAATATATGAAATGTAACATTTTATGCAGATCCAGTTCTACTATTTGAATTAAAGTAGTAACAAATTATGATCCTTCCCTGGGAAACACTTGAGTGAAGCTCCTTCATCCAACCATGACTCTTCTAAATTAACATGGATAGAACTCCCAAGCATGGCCACCATGGGCTCCTCAGTCTAAATGCCTGCTTGTACCTCCAGTTAATTTACCCACATATTATTTACTTACATGCCTTTCAGTGTGATTATGGTTCTCCCAGATAAGTAGAGACATTTAAATTTTCCGTTTCCTTTTAATTTCCAAATGTTTACAGACTATAGCCTGTTCATTAAACTGTTTACTAAAGCCAACACTTGCTCCACTTTATCAACCTCCTCCACAGTTCTTCAGAGTTTTACTCCATCACAGCTCATCTCTGGGCTGAGAACAAACCACTCCCTTCCCTCTCTGTCAAAACAAATATTCCTGAGCACCGGAATCATTCACCTTACCCTGCAATGAAGCACCTTTAAATGTAAACCGGCCCTTTTTCATCAAAATCACTACCGAAATACAAACATACACACGCTATGTGAGCTTTACTACAGTTATACTCTTGACTAATTGCTTTGAGGATTTTTCTTCAACGCCCTAAATCCCCTTTCCCAAGTCAGTACACTGTGTAACTATTGCATGTAACATGTATTCTTAGATTTGGCCTGCTGTTCCTTGGCATATTATTTTCAGGTTTATCTACAACAAGTTGCATTTTCAAGCCACTGACTAAATTACCTGTGAGATCCACCTTTTTTCTGCAGCTCACCATCACTTATTGGAGCTGATCTGGAGACACAACCACAAAAAGTTCAGCCACGTTCATCCAAATCCATTACCTGTGTTACAAACATGCCTGAGTTAAACCATTCCCGTCTCAGTGACTTAGCCATCCTCAGATTCTCTGAGCTTCAGCAGTATAAATGTGATATGGCTGAATTCCACACACAGAATCTCAGAATCATGAAATGGTTTGAGTTGAAAGGGACTTTGCAGTTCCTCTAGTTCCAAATCCCTGCCATGGGCAGGGACACCTTCCTCTATCCCAGATTGCTTCAAACCCTGTCCAACCTGGCCTTGGACACTTCCAGGGAAGGGGCAGTCACAGCTCCTCTGTGCCAGGGTCTCACCACCCTCACAGCAAAGAATTTCTTCCTAATCTCCCATCTAACCCTGCCCTCTGGCAGTGGGAAGCCATTCCCTCTTGTCCTGTCACCCCAGGCCCTTGTCCAAGTCTCTCCAGCTCTCTTGAAGCCCCTTTAGGCACTGGAAGGGGCTCTAAGATCTCCCTGAAGCCTTCTCTCCTCCAGGCTGAAAAGTCCAAATTCTCTCAGCCTTTGGTCACAGACCTAAAACTGGCTGGTGGTGGCTCCTCTGAAGGACAGACACAGACCCATCAGGATATACTTTTATATATTTATGCATGGGAAAAGCGAAGGAGAAACAGGGATTTGCCCTAAACGTGCAAGTCTGTGACTGCACTGAAAGCACTGATTTACCAAACTAAATTTAACTAACAGATTTTGAAAGATCATTGCTGTTATGAAGAACTGCTTTAGGTGTGAGAGGTCAGGCTACCTAGGGAGGCTGTATCCCCCTGCCTGTCTTTAATCTCCCAGCCAATCATCCACTCAATGCACCATTTCTGTTTCTAAAGAGGTTTCCTTCTTAGTTTTCAACCCTTATAAATCTGACCCGTCACTGCAGAATTCCCAGTAATATTAGATAAAACTCCACCGATTTCTCTCTGGAATAAACTCTTTAATATCTTTTATTTAAGACATGTGTGTGCAATCAATTCCATGGTATTTACTTGTATTACACACACAGTATTCATCATCTTGACAATTCTTAAAAGTTTTAGAACACCATTTCACTTAACAGTTTGAATTTAAAGAAAAAAAAAGAGATTTATTTGATGGTTAACTTTGGAACAAGTTATCTGCATTAACTTCCATTGTTTTGGCATAAAGTAGTTCTGTATATTTTACTAACAACAGTGGAGACATGATAAAGGATGTAGGCAGAGAGCCATAAACAGCTCTCGCTGCAACCCACGGTGTTCGTGTAAAGGCATTAATTTTTGGACTTTGATTGGAAGACGTCTCTGTGCTCAGCCTCTTGGATTTTCCTAAATACAACCCCGTATAAAAACCTTGTACCTGAATAGAACAATTTCAGCAGTGGAAAGAGCGTTGTAAATCATGTGTGGTATAAACTTGTCCACATGATTGGAATGATATAATGGATACTGGAGTCCCTAACCACTAGCTAATGTTCTTTATGACACTTAAATAAATGACCTGAAAATAAACTAATAACAACATGAAATCTTCTAAACCTGTTCATGTGTATTTCCCAAAAGCAGGCTGGAGAACGACAATGTCTAGTTAGCGCATTTTTTGTGTTTACATTTTCTCCAGAACATTTTTGCTCCAGCTACTCTATTTTTCCTCTTCTGGACTCAAATTAATTCTTCTTTTCTGACAGCTTCCATCCAGTACCTGCCCAGATCACAGTCATTTAAAACATCAAGAGCTTTCAGGACTTTTACATCACCATCATGGTTATGGAATAGCACAGTTGGGGTAGGAGCAGACCTAGGTTTGAAAGACTAGATATAAGGAAGAATATTTTATACTTTATGTGGGGATTTTTTTTATAATGAAGATGGTGAAGCTGTGGCTGCATTGTCCCTGGAATTGTCCAAGGCCAGGTTGGATGGGGCTTGGAGCAACCTGGGCTAGTGGAAGGTGTCCCTACCCATGGCAGGGGAGTGAAATGAGATGATCTTTAAGGTCCCTTCCAACCAAACCATTCCATGATTCTAAAAAACAAGCTAGAGAGTTACCACAGCAGAGAGGTAGGATTTAGTGATGGAGAAGGACACACCATTTTTCTCAGTCTTAGAACACACCAGTCACGTAAGAAAAATATCACAGTATTCTATTTTTAATATTGGAGAAGAATTTCATTGTTATTATTAACTTGTGGTAGCAAAATCTTGCACAAGTGAAACTTTCCAGGAAAAAAAATGACCATCAAAGCCCACAAATATTAACACTTTCAACAGATTCTACAAGGTACTGTCCCTTCAAGTTAAAAAAAGCACAGAAAATGTTTTACTTTTATGCATAACTCATATATACACAAACACTGAAAGTTCAGAACAGTGAGAGACTTAGATATCTAATTTTAGTCTTACAACTTGTGTTCAAAACTGTTTTTCTTTTATTTATTCAGATTTTTGAGTCTCTCCAACACATTGAACAGTCAATTTTAAAACTTTATGAAGACTCTACAGAGAGTAAGCCTTGAAAACTTTCCCTTTTTGCATACTAGGTCTAGATGTTTAGTTAAAAAAAATTAAACTAAGTTCATATATAATAAAAATTCAAGAGCCTAAAAATCAGAGTTTCAATCTAACTACTTGCTACTTTGAGTAACAGACTCTTCTTTAACTCCTAATCTATATATTATGTATTTTCTTTTAATTTATTCCATGAAACCCTGCTCTGAGGAAATCCATGTACTTTTCCTTGAAGCAGACGTGTGTTTTTCCCAGCTCTTTTGTAATATGTTGTCATGTTCCATTGTATGTGTTTACTCAGAGCACTTAATGAAAAATAATTTATGGGGATTGGTTTCTTTTCCATGGCACCAAGAGTCACTTTGTGCACCATTTTGTTAAAAACAACAACACAAAAAGGATGGAAGGGCCACGATGTCACTGCTCAATGAATAGAGACCACATTAGAAAGACAAACTGGAGTGATGGTTTAGGTTAGACCAGATTATACAACTGTTCCCTACAATTTTTAAGAATGGATATAATATTTAAAAAGGAAAAAAAAGAATTTTATTTATTAAAAATTTGCCATTCTGAAAACATACATTTGGAAGCAAAGTTATAGTTTTGAAAATGCAATGGATTTGTTTATTTCTTTTTATTATAGTGTCATTAAAAAGTTTAAAAATAATAAAATAAAATAAGATCAGAGATTCATGGAATGATTGGGGTTGGAAGGGACCTTAAATATCATCTTGTTCCACCCCCTGCCATGGTCAGGGGCACCTTCCACTAGCCCAGGTTGC